CAAGGGCAGACGAGACCAGGTCAAGTCAGATAATTTCATGGTAAATTCGCAGATCAGAAATGAAATCAAAACAGAGATAGAAACCACAAAGATAGCATTTACGAAAATCCGACTGGGATCTGCAACGTTTCAGACATGGCAGTGAGCAGGAAGCAAGGTACAAAGACCATCTTAAAATTCACAACCTTTCTTCCGTGAATTCTTGTGAATCAAGTTTTCCACGATGTTGTTCATAAGCAATATACATAAATTACGTATGTATAGATGATTTTTTTCTTGCTGGCTAGGCCTTCCCCAGCCTGCGTCACTCGGCCTGTCTTTTGCCTTTGGTGCCAAGTTTTCTTCGAATTCGTGGAGGTCATCTCACAACCCGGTCTTTTAAACGGCCTCTATTTCTCGTGGTATCCAATCTATCCCAGTTCAAGTTCTCGATTTCGCAGGGACATACAAGTGAACCAAATTGGTGTCTTGATGTTGCCATGGCTTGGGACGATTTTTTTTTTTTGGAGTCATTCACAGCTGACGCACCTCACTCCACCCATAAGCGAAGCGCTGGGCTCGGTTTTACTCCGAAGGCCCACAACAGGAACGGCCTGAGGTGACTGAGGTTTGGGCTTCGTCCTAAGTAGAGAGAAAAAACGACCGCATCCTACCGCGCTGGCCATGCGGAAGGTTGGTTAGGAATGGACGTGGTTTTGTCCTGGAATTTGTAATACTCTGACTTCACTCCTTCCCAACAATCGCTTGGACGTGGTCTGGCAGAGCTTGAGTCACCTCGACCTCGGCAGAGCTTAGAGTCATCCTCGAACCTCGCAGAGCTTGATTCCACTCTGACCCTCGGCATACTAGTCTCCTCGACCCTCGGCAGCTCTTTGAGTCATCCTCGACCCTCGGCAGAGCTTGAGTCATCCATCCTCGACCCTCGGCAGAGCTTGAGTCCCTCTCGACCCTCGGCAGAGCTTGAGTCCATCCTCGACCCTCGGCAGAGTTTGGTCATCGCTCTACCCTCGGCAGAGATTGAGTCCTCCTCGCACCCTCGGCTGAGCTTGAGTCACCGCCCTCGACCCTCGTCAGAGCTGAGTTTCAAACCCCTCGACCTCGGCTGGCTTGAAGTTCCCCCTCGACCCTGGCATAGCTTGAGATCAAGCCTCGACCCTCGGCAGAGCTTGAGTCCATCTCTACCCTCGGCAGAGCTTGAGTCCCTCCTCGACCCTGCTTCATAGCTTGATCATCCTCGACCCTCGCTCTGATCTTGAGTCAAAACCCTCGCCTCTGCAGAGCTTGAGTCAAACCTCGACCCCTCGCTGAGCTTGAGTCACCCTCGACCCTCGGCAGAGCTTGAGTCACCCTCAACCCCTCGCTTGATCTTGAGTCACCCTCTACCCCTCTGCGAGCTTTAGTCACCCCGACCCTGGCTAGCTTTGATCACCCTCTACCCTCGGCAGGCTTGAGTCACCCTCGACCCTCGGCGGAGCTTGAGTTATCCTCGAACCCTCCAGATCTGAGTCACCTCGACCCTCTCAGAGCTTGAGTCATCCTCTAACCTCGCAAGCTTGAGTCAGCCCTCGACCTTCCGCCAGAGCTTGAGTTACCTCAGAACCCTCGGCAGGCTTGATCACCCTCGACCCTCGGCAGAGCTTGAATTCACCCCCTCGCTCTCGGCAAGAGCTTGAGTCAGCCTCGACCCTCGGCAGAGCTTGATAGCCTCGACCCTCGGCAGAGCTTAGTCAACCCTCGCCCCTCGGCAGAGCTTGATTTCCCCTCGAACCCTCGCTGAGCTTGAGCATCCTCGACCTCGGCTTGAGCTTGAGTCACCCTCGAACCCTCGGTAGAGCCCCCCCCTTGATTCACACCCTCGCCCTCGTGCAGAGCTTGAGTCACCTTCAACCCTCGGCAGAGCTTGAGTCAACCCTCGACCCTCGCAGAGCTTGAGTCACCTCACCCTCGTCACAGCTTGAGTTTGCCTCGCCCTCGGACTAGCTTGAGTCACCCTCGACCCTCGGCAGAGCTTGATCACCCTCGACCCTCGCATAGCTTTAGTCACCCTCGACCCTCGGCAGAGCTTGTGAGTCAGCTCGACCCTCGGCAGAGCTTGATCAACCCTCGACCCTCGGCAGAGCTTGAGTCAGCCTCGACCCTCGTCAGAGCTTGATCAGCCTCGACCCTCGGCAGAGCTTGAGTCATCCCTCTAACCCTCGGCTGAAGCTTGAGTCACCTCGGACCCTCGTCCAAGAGCTTGAGTTCACCCTCAGAACCCTCGGCAAGCTTGAGTTAGCCCTCGACCTCGGCAGACTTGATCACCCTCGACCCTCGGCAGAGCTTGAGTCACCCTCTACCCTCGGCATATCTTGAGTCCACCCTCGACCTCGTCCGAGCTTGAGTCACCCTCGACCCTCGCAGAGCTTAGTCACCCTCACCTCCGGCTAGCTTGGTCCACTCTCGACCGCTCGGCAGAGCTTGAGTCAACAACCACCCTCTACCCTCGCAAGAGCTTGATCACCCTCGACCCTCGCAGAGCTTTAGTCACCCCCTTGCATGTTCCCCGTCGCCAGAGGAAGTGTCACATGCCCGCCCAGTTATAGATTATAATACTTCAGTCCAATCTCATCCGAGTACAAAGACATGTGATCGTATATTTATGTACATGAGGAACGGATTAGGGGGTTTTGATTCGAAAAAATGTACGCATTCATAAACCTGGAGGTCGGTAGGTACTTAGCGATGATTTTTAGCATTTCTTTTGTCTTTGAAGATAGTATATGCATTCCTAATTTCAAGTGACATTTTGAGAGAGAGAGAGAGAGTGAAAGAATGTGTGTGTGTGTGTGTGTGTGTGTGGTTGTGTGTGTGTGTGTGTGTGTGTGTGTGTGTGTGTGGTGTGTGTGTGGTGGTGTGTGTGTGCGTGTGGGTGTGTGTATGTGTGTGTGTGTATGTGTGTGTGTGTGCTGTTTGTGTTGTGTGTGGTGGTGTGTGTGGTGTGTCGTGTGTTGTGTGTGTGTGTGTGTTTGTCGTCTAGTCCTTTGTGTGTGTGTGTGTTTGTGTGTGTGTGTGTGTGTGTGTGTTGTGTGTTCCCTCGCTTGCGTGTGTGTAGTGTTTTCTGTGTGTGTGTGTCTGTGATGTGTTTGTGTGTATGTGTGTTTTTGTGTTCCTTTGTGTTGTGTGTTATTTGTCTGTGTGTGCGTGTTCAGTTCTTATCTTTTGTCTTTTTTCTCACTCCTTCCTCCCTATTCCCTTCCTCTCCCTCTCCTCCCGTTTTCTTCTCTCTAGGCCCTGCCCCTCCCTCCCTGTCCTCTCCCCCTATTTGCTTCCTCTCTCCCTCCTCCTCCTCCCCGTCCCTCCCCACCAGAAGTTATCCAGATCCCCCGCATTAGCTAAACTAATCCGAAATTCGCATTTCACACCCTTCATCTCTGTCAGTAAAACAACACATTACCCACATCCAGAACACCGGAACTACCCAATACCTAACATAATATTGATAACAGTTTATGAACATAATAACCACACTAATAATCATACTACTAACACAATACTAATAACAGTAATAATCAAATGATAATAATAACTGACTACTACCAACAACAACACAACAACAACCACAACAACACTAATATAATGATAATAATCATAATAAAATAATAATATAGTAAAATAATACTAATGATAATAAAATCATAAAATGATAATACCTAAAAAAATAATAATATCAATAATAATTAATAATAATAATAATATACTAAGCCACAGTGGCTTTATTCTCCTGTACAAGATCAAATTTTGTTCACAGGAAATTTCCAGGCCAACGTCTTACACAACGGTGCTTAACCAAAGTGCGATTTTTGCTCAAACAAAGGTAGAACGATTGACCACCTGTTTCTGGCTGCTCACTTTTCAACACCTGGAGAATATAAAGACAGACAGACGGGTGGTCAGTTCCCATTGCCAGATTCAATAGTAAATAATATCTCAAATAAATACTTCCCTCCCCCCCACCCCCCCCCTCGAATTCCATACATGACCAGAGAATGAGTAACAGCAATCGCAAAGGGTTTTCGCCCCCCCCTACTTTTATATCTACTCTCCTCCTTCAATTTCAACACTTTTCCCTTCTCCACCCTCCGCCCCCCTTTCTCTTCACCTCTTCTTAATTGGCTATTGCCTTATCTAAGATTTGTACCACTTTTCCATACAACTCACAGTAACTGTTTACGAACAACACCACCACCCAGCCCGCACAATCCAAGCAAATCGTCCTGATCTTTAAGCACAAGAAGACCAACCTATGCCTTTCTCATTTGACCGACGCCGCTCCTCTGATAGAAATGTCTCTGCCAAAAAAAAAAAAAAACCTTGAAAAGCTTACCAAGTACAAAGATCCGAAAATGGAACGAAAAGATTTGGCACTTGAAAAGTTCGACCGATCCCTGTAGTAATAGGTGCCTTAGGCCTAATAAAGAAGGGAGCTCAAGAATATGTCGAAATGGTCCCCCAGGAATTCCCTCAGTACAAGAACAAAAAAAAAAAAAAATTGTTCTTAATATAACTGCACTGTATTAACGATCTCTCGCCATAAATAAATACCCGTTTTTATCTACCTTTTAAACCATATGAACACAATGTAACAAACTTTTTATCTTAATTAAAGCAATCAAGAGAACTTTAATAATAATAATAATAATAATACTAATTAATTAATTAAATAATATAAATTATAACCTAAAAAATACTTTACCTAAGACGAAATTCGCAAATCCCTCTCCCTCGCCAAAAGCCAGCCTCGTAAATCCACAATTTTCATTAAAATAGAAATTAGAAAATAATAAAAATGTGAAAAAAAAGTCTCAAAATTGATCCACGATTCTCGAGATCTTTCAATTTTTTTTTTTTCTTCTTTGGATGATTGGATATCCTTTAAATCCATCCCTTATCCCACCAAAACACTTATTCACTTATAAACACAAATTCTTTTCCTGCACTATTTGACTTTAAGTATTAAAAAAAGAAATATGTAACTTTCTTTCACAAAAACAAACACGTTCACTTTGATTCGTGTTTATTTCCTACTAAACTCGGCTGTGATTGGTCCTATTCG